AGAACAACAAAGCTTACGAATACGATGTGAGTTATTTCGCGATACTGTCAAGATATGCTCAAAATCATATGTATAAACTCAAAAGTAAAATGGAAAAAGCAATGTAAGATAAATTGGGTTCAGAAACTGAGGGGAAAAGATGAAGTAATAAAAAAGAAGTTAATGTGAAAAGTCTCTTGACTTATTGCATTGTTAACTGCCATGAACCTGCCACGTAAAACATCGCTATCTTTTCAACACGGTGGGAAAATGGAATGCTTTTTTTTTCACCGCACCATATGGACGATGTATAGATCTTTTTGATGTGTCTCCAGAGGGGTTTTTTTGTTTGTTTTTGGGATAAGTGTATTTCGGGGCTCGCAACTGCATAAGGTCATATGAGGGCGTCGGACACACCAAACATTTTCAGTTCGCAGGAAATTTTGAATTTTGCCCAGGTGGCGGCCGAAGCCTACTCTTATCGATTTTAGACCACCAAGGAATCTTTAACGAGCACAACTTGCACGTGGGACCTCAGAGATTTTGCGCCCTTATCCGAGAAGACTAGGTGTAGATCTTTCCTACCAGAAGGTCAGGGGTGTGGCTGAAAGACAGCAGTAAGACTGAGCCAAGGAGAAGCAATAGAAAGGCTGCAGAAAGAGTCAATAGTCCAGAGGAAGAGGGCAAAGGAGGTGAGGGGTGGGGGTGGGGGCAGAAGGTGAAGACGAAAGCAGACGACAAAACATTGCTAGAGAACAGGAAAGGGGGTGAAAGGAGACAATTTTAGAGAAAAAAGTTTCCGTCGCTACCCGGATTTGAACCCGCGAACTTTGAATTAGAGACAAACACCTTAACCTCTAGGCCACGAGAGCCCCCCTCTCCAAAAGGTGACGGCGGTTCTTAAAAAAAAAAAGTCTTGATTTACAGCGTGGAACTATCCAAACAACAGGTGAACAGCCCAATACGAAAATGGAAAAAATGACAACTACTCTTTTCCCAAGGCAGTCTTCTTTTCTATTTATCTATTTATTTATTTATTTATTTATTTATTTATTTATTTATTTATTTTTTATTTATTTATTTCGGGAGGGGGGGGATAATCGACTTCATATGTCAATATACAAGTTTTCACAAAGCTAAAATAAATGATAATAAAATTTTGCAAGTTAGGTCAAAGGTATTACACCATTTTTAGTTGTTTTTTTTAGGGGGTGGGTAACCGACCTTACATGTCATTTTTATTATCATTATTTTAGCTTTGCGAAAACTTGTATATTGACATGTTCTTTGTGCTATGTTCTTTGTGCTGCCTGAAACAATGAACAATGAACATGTCAATATACAAGTTTTGGCAAAGCTAAAATAATTGTAATAAAATAAAGAAAGCCAGGCCAAGGGTATTAAAACAAAATATTTTTAGACTATTAGATATGCCAGAAATAGTTTTCTAGCCAATTATCTAAACCACAGAAAAAGTTTGATTCAGTGTAACTACTTATTCACTTAGCTGCGTGATCCTTCTATATCCAGCCTATATAAAGGGACCTCCTTACACTACGTTAGTCAATAAGAAAGTGGTGAGTATGTGTGCGTGTGTGTTTGTGTGTGTGACCAGTTGCTGGAGTCAAAATTTACAGTTGGGTTATCCAACTCACAAAACCGGTCAGAATTTTTCGTTCTTCTTCCAATAGTCTCTGTCACCGTTTCTGCACTCGGTTTTAGGCTACCTATCACATCTATTCAAAAAGAAGGTTACTGCTCGGGATTGAACAGATGGGCCAAAAAAAGGGAACAGTTGCACCTGTTTTGACATTAGTCTTAGGATAAATTTTCGGTTCGCTATAAAATTATATCGTGATGACAAGGAATTATACATTTTTTAAACATTCAGTTGTTTTTTTTTTATATAGGCCTACTCACGGAAAAAAGAAGGTGTGCATAGAAATCAAATATTGTACTTGCTTGCAAACTAATTTTCCATAGAGAATCCATTCCTGTTCTAGACGACACACACATCAAGGAAGAAGTCGTGAGGATAAATATGTTTCATTGAAGTGTTTATTTTAGCACGAAAATATCTGTCACAAGTTAAGACTCCCGATTCCCAAATTCACAAAACCAGTACTGCCTGTGGGCGCTTGCCACGCCGATGACTGACTCTCACCGTCGACTCATTGGAAGGTTAAATTCTTTAATAAACTGCAGGGGGAATCTGCCGCTACATTCTCTCTAGCTATTGCTTTTGTTCATGTCAGGTTTGGGCTGGATAGTTCTTGCTGAGATTGGTCTTTATAATATTAGATAGCATTTGTATAGCGCAATTCCTCTCCCAACAGCAAGCTCTATGCGCTTCACAATCTATACTTTTACCCCAGCAGAGCAGACCTGGGAGCATTCTGAAACAAACTCAACTTCCTGGGAAGCATACAGTGCAAGCAGCCATTTATAGGCGCCAAAACACTAACATACTGACAAGATCTTTCGCTGTCTAAGGCCGGGTACCCATTTCCACCTGTATGGAGAGTGGAAAATTCGTGTAAAGTGCCTTTCCCATGGACACAACGTCGGGCCCGCGGCTCTTTATCCAGGTACATTACGTGCCGTGGTGATGCAGGACGCAATCTGTTCTGGAGATGAACGGGGCGGAAGTGTCAAGTTTGTCTCTGCGTTTTGATCCGAGGCCTACCCTTTCTAGGTCAATAATTCGTTGTTCCAGACACCCCGATATATGGTCATAGACGTTCAATGCTGTTTCTGTGGACTTTGAGCTTTTGAGCCACATCTCGCTGTGCCTAACGCTTGCCTTCTATCATTTTCTGACAGACGTGGCAGTTTTTAAAAAGCAGAAATATTGCTTTTAAAAGTGTTTTTCGACACAAACAGACGTAAAAGAAGTGAATCTTAGACTTAACTTCTGAACACGTGTACACATAGTCGCATTCTAAGGTAGTTGAATGGATTTGAAACATTAAGTTATCACCCTTGACGAAAAAGAAGTTTTTTGCTGAAACTCGTGCAACTTACGAAAACAACTTACGCCAGCTTCCGTGTAAAAATGGCGACTGCTGACCTTCAATTAATTAAGTTATGATTATTTAAAGTATGCACACTTTCTATTTTTCCTTGAGTATATGAATGATGCACTGGGACTATGTAAACGCTCACATAAATTCTGTCTTTGCGGGAACACAGATTATTACAGTTTTTATTTTGTTAAGCAACGGTTTAAACATGTGGATTAACAGAGTCGTGGCTCTTTACCTTTATTTTCATTTTGGAATTTGCTCACTCGGAGAAGCAGCTTACTCTTGTGTATTACAGCTTACTCTTGTGTATTACAGCTTACTCTTGTGTATTACAGCTTACTCTTGTGTATTACAGCTTACTCTTGTGTATTACAGCTTACTCTTGTGTATTACAGCTTACTCTTGTGTATTACAGCTTACTCTTGTGTATTACAGCTTACTCTTGTGTATTACAGCTTACTTAACCTATAGCAACCCAAAGTCAACGCTTATAACACTGGTTTTAAACTCAAGGCCCGCGATCCACATTCGCCCCGAAAAACAGTAATTACTATATCCAGCCTGCGACAGAATTTTACGTTGTCCATCCTGAGAATCTTCTTAACACAGAACCTTACTCCAAGCATAAACGAACTAGTTGCCAAGAAAACATGCCTAATACCTAGATCTGAAAAATTAGCATAATAGTGAAAATTGTTTTGTATTGATTGTATGTCATCTTAATTTTTGCCTGTAATAATTCATATTACAATTTAAAAGGTATAGTTTTTCTACAACTCAACAAATATCCAGTTCGACTGGCAAACTTAACTATCATTTGAGTTGGATCCATTAAGTGATTGAGTGTGGTAGTCTTATGTGAATGTGATAGTCTTATGTTCCGTTTTGGTTAGTGTTAATACAAGTGTTAGGAAAGAATGTAGAGCAATTTCATTAGTATTCCATACATCTTGAAACTACTTAAAGAAATGTTAAGTCAAAAGAAGCGATGGCTCAAGCCGCCACCTACAAAATTTCGATCGTTGAGACCCTGTTAAAGCCACCTGGGCTTAGAGGTATACAACGCCCCCACATTTAGACGGACTTAATTAATTTTAAAAGAAAACTTCTCTCCATGCAATAATAGATTTCATATTTTCTGTGTTGGGTGGCAATGCGTCTAACAGCTGTACCACAGGTGTCAGACATTTCGAATAATTTGAGGAGAGTTTTGCTGGTAAGACGTCAGAGCTCAATTAGTTTTTGCATGCGACGTTGTTCCAGCAATTACGCTCGTCGCTCTCTCTCTCTCTCTCTCTCTCTCTCTCTCTCTC